CTTCAAAGAGTCGCCCACGAAGCATTCGACGATTATTTTCGCCGCGACCAAGCACCACGTCGACTACTTGTATTCCCTGCTGAAAGAGGCAGGATTCGCTACTTCCTACGCTTACGGTTCCCTCGACCAGACGGCTCGTAAAATCCAAGTTCACAACTTCCGTACCGGCATTTCCAACATCCTCGTCGTCACCGACGTTGCGGCCAGAGGTATCGATATTCCCATTCTGGCTAATGTCATCAACTACGACTTTCCCTCGCAAGCCAAGATCTTCGTCCACCGTGTCGGTCGTACCGCGCGTGCTGGTCGCACCGGTTGGAGTTACAGTCTGGTCCGCGATTCCGATGCCCCCTACCTTCTCGATCTGCAGCTGTTCCTCGGCCGGCGACTGGTCCTTGGTCGGGAGCATGGCGAAAGTGTCAGTTTCGCCGAGGACGTGGTTGTGGGAGGATTTCCCCGCGACGGCCTGTCTCAGAGCTGCGAGTGGGTGACCAAGGTCTTGGACGATACAGTGGACATTGCTGCGCAGCGTTCCGTCGCCAGCAAGGGTGAAAAGCTCTACTTGCGCACACGTAATGCAGCATCACTGGAAAGTGCCAAGCGCTCGAAAGAGGTTGTCTCATCCGACAACTGGACCGCCCTGCACCCTCTGTTCAACGACGAGACCAGTCAACTCGAAGCCGAGCGCGAGAAGATGCTGGCCCGTATCGGAGGCTACCGGCCCAACGAGACCATCTTCGAAGTGAACAACCGCCGCAGCGGCAAGCCCGAGAACGAGGAGGCGCTCCACACAATCAAGCGTGTCCGAACCACGCTCGACTCGAAGAAGAAGCGCGCTCAAGAAGCGAAATCGGAATTCGACGACGACGATGTGCCCACCAAGTCCGGAGACGCCGACGCCGAAGACGCTGACGGCGCCTTCTCCGACGAAGACGAAGCCGGCGAAGGTGCTGCCGACAACATGTCACTTGCCTCGGAAACCGACCTCGAAGTCACCTTCTCCTCCTACAACCAGCCCAGCAACAAAAAGGCCAAGAAAGACGCCAGCGCCACCTCCTTCCAGAACCCCGAATACTTCATGTCCTACACCCCTAACAACACCAACATGGCCGAAGACCGCGCGTACGGCGTGCACTCCGGTACCAACGCCAACTTCGCACAAGCATCCCGCGACGCAGCCATGGATCTGCTCGGCGACGAAGGCAGCCGCGGGTTCGGCGAGCCTCGCACCATGATGCGCTGGGACAAGCGTCACAAGAAGTACGTGTCGCGACAGAACGACGAGGACGGATCGAAGGGTACCCATCTGGTGCGTGGTGAGAGTGGTGCCAAAATCGCTGCCAGCTTCCGCAGTGGACGCTTCGACGCGTGGAAGAAGGGCAAGCGACTCACTCGTCTGCCGCGTGTGGGTGAGGCCGAGACACCGGGTCTCGGGGCGGATCTTAACCATTACCGCGGTGGTCGACGCTTCAAGCATAACAAGGAGCAGGCGCCGAAGCGGGCTGATCCGCTCCGTGGAGACTATGATAAGATGAAGAAGAAGAACGAGGCGGCGAAGGAGCGCCAGTTGGGCAAGTTTGGAGGGGCCGCGGCGGGTGGTAAGAGTGAGCTGAAGAATACGGATGATATTCGGTTAGCTAGGAACTTGAAGCAGAAGAGACGCGAGAAGAATGCTCGGCCGTCGAGGAAGAAGTAGGTGACTTGAGGTTTGTGGTTTGTGTGCTAGGTTTTGCATATGTAGATACCATGTTAGATAAAAGTGATAATTATACCAGGAGTCTGAATATACTGGCATAATGTGATGTAGACTTAGACACTGAGTTTAGAACATCCTAGCACTCCGGTCTCCTCATCCCATCTTTCGTCTTTCTTTCCATCGGCTCGTAATAGTTGCGTCTGATATACTTCTGGGTTCCCCACCCCAATGCATCCCGGCACTCCCATGTCTTCATCCCATCTGTCGTCTTCCTCTTCCTCTTTCTCATCCCCTCCCGCTTCTTTCTCCTGATACTTCCCTATACTCCTGACGCCAACACACCCCATCACCCCAGTCTGCTCATCCCACCTCTCTTCCTCTTCCTTGTCCTCTCTCTCTCCCGATTTCCCTTGTTCCTGAGCACCCCTCATACTCTGACCCCCAACACCAACACACCCCAACACCCCCTCCTCCTCATCCACCCTCCCCCCCTCTTCCCTCCTCCTAATAACCTCCTCATACTCCCCAATATCCCTCACCCCCACCGGCATCCCATTACTCCCCAACCCCTGCTCCCCCATCAACTTCTCCCTCACCACCATCGCCCTCTTCCACGACTCCCTCGCCTCCATCCGTTCCTGCCACGCCTTGACCCACGGATACGGGCCCAGAATATCCTCATCGTCATCGGACGGAATCAACATCCCCAACTGACAATTCCACGGCAGGAAAGCCAAGTCCGCGTACGTGCATTTCTCACCAACTAGCCACGTTTTGCCCGTAAGGATGATGTTTAGCACTGATAGGATTCTGTGTACTTCGGTCTGGTAGCGGGTTATTGCGGTGAGGAGTTTTTCGGGGGAGAGGGTGGAGAACCTGTACACATTTAGTAAATCATTTATAAGGAATGTGTTAGGGGGACGGGGTAAGGTGGGAGAGGGGAGGTGTACCATCCACATTGCCCATAATACGGTCCTTGTCCACTCATTTGGAACTGGAGGTATTGATTTAGGAGATGTTTCTCGGGGATGTTGGTTGGTGGGAAGGAGAGTTTGTGGGTGGGGTCGTAGAGGTCGATTAGGTATTGGATTATGGCGCCGGATTCCCAGAGAGTGAAGGGTTGATTATCGGGAGTGGGGGTGGGGGTGTTGGGGTCTTGGATTGCTGTATTTTAATTAGTTATTTGGTTAGTTGTGGTTATATTGTGGTGTTGTGATGTTTCGGCGTTGGTGATGATGGAGAGGGGATATAGTGTGGGGTAATAGTGAGGGGATGATGGATGGAACATACCCGGTACACGGCCATTGGGGTTAATGTTGATAAATGGGGGTTTCTTGACGTCTTCGAAGCCGAAGGAGTTGATTCTGTAGGTGATGTTGAGTTCTTCGAGGATGACGATGACCTGGTAGTTTATTGATTAGTAAAGAAATGGTATGTGTGAGTGGTGTGAGAACTGACCTTCCATGGATTGGGACCGGAAGCTATACATTATCAAAGAAGAATATGGTTAGTATATAAGGATAGTAGATAAAATTGGTGGATGGAACGTACGGGTTATCCAGACGGTAATGGTCTTCATGTTTGTCATGGTGAGATTCTTAGTAGCAGTATGTGTAGAGTAGGTGTAGTTAGTACGCATGAGGGGAAAAGAAAAAGCAGGGAGTAGACAGCTTTATACATTCGCTGACTCTGACATGATGAGGCTGTAGCCTGATGGTCGAAGGATGATTAGCGTGTGGCTAAATATACTAGTACTTATTAGTAGAGGAATGGGGTGAGCTGACTGTGTTTGGGGGCCGTTTCTTGATTGTCGGGAGACTGTCAGATGATTACCATATCATCTCGTATATATACTCGATCATAAGTGTGAAGATTGAAAAAGTGGAGTGATTGATTGCAATAATAATACTATCTAACATCAACTGAAACAACAGCATAGTAACTGCAAAACAAACACATCTAATCATGCAATCCCACCATCTCCAACGAATCTCTCCACAACCGCTCCTCTCCCTCCGGCCAATACGTATAACTCACAATCGACCTTCCAACATGCCCATCATACTCTCCATCCTCTGCCTCTGCACAATCAGCCAGATACTTCCCCCCTTTACCCTCCCACTCTCTCCCCACAGCAGCCCACAGCGTAGTGGCAGCACCCTGCTCCGTACTCTTCGCAACCCTACCCACCGTCTCATCAGTCAACAGCGCCTGAATCTGCTCCTCCGAAAGATACCTCCCCAACCCCGTAGCAATAATCCCAGGATGCAAACTCAACCCATGTAGCCCCTGCTCCCCATACCGCCGCTCAATCTCACTCGCCGTATAGATATTCGCCGTCTTAGACTGCCCATACGCAACCCACGGCTCATACCCACCCTTCTGGAAATGATAATTATCCGCTTCGTTGATCCCATGCACGCGATGTCCTGAACTCGAGACCAGAACTACCCGCGAGTGAAACTCGGGAGTACTGCCCGCCAGTAATGTCGGCTTGAGCAGATTGAACAGAAGGAAGTGGGCGAGGTGGTTTGTCGCGAACTGCATCTCGTATCCATCCTCTGTGAGCTGGAGGTCCGGCACAGCCATGACCCCCGCGTTGCCGATGAGGATGTTCACTTTATTTGTCTTGGACAGGATGAGCTTTGCGGCCAGTCGCACGCTGGCTAGCGAGGCTTGATCCATCTGCACCAGCTCCATGGTCTCCGGCTGGAAGATGTCGCCTAGGGCTGTGCGCGCTTTGGTCAGGTCCCGGGCTGTTAGGTACAGCGTTGCGCCGGTGGCAGCGAGGGCGCGGACAGTCTCGACTCCTAGGCCGGAGGAGACGCCCGTCACGACGGCGACTTTGCCTTTGAGTTGATCCTGCATGTTGCTGTCTTGGACGATTTGAAGGGCTGTGGGTCGGGCATCACCGGGGCCCTTGGGGGTGGCGTGGACGGCAGTGTAAGACATGTTTGATGAGAACTTGAGAAGATGAAAGTGTGGTTGATGCGTGATAATAATACTGCATTTTGATTGAGAACAGCAGCATATTTATAATGTTTCCTGCAGGTTGACAATGATGAAGAAAGAGAAATCTATAACAATCAAGGCAGAAGTAATGGCTGACATTATTGCCTATTCAGGTTAGCTCGACGGGGCCATCATCTGGCTTCATCTTCCTTTGACTTCATGGCTGACCGTTTTTGCCTTTTAAGATCTAGACTGTTCGTGAGATATACGAAGAGAGAAGATCCAGGAGAATCTACAGACTTCTTGGATGTTGGAAATCCTTCCCCAGCTGACAAATTTACCTATCTCGACGATGCCGTCATCTACACCCGCAGACGAGAAACGGCAGCGCAAGAAGCTCCAGAACCGAGTAAACCAGCGAGCACGTCGTGAGTATCCCTCAATCAAATACAATCCATCGAACTAACCATCCCCTTCAGGTCTGCGCCTCAAAAACAACCACCAGCAACACAAGGACCAACCTACCCGTCCATACAGCGTCCACCGCTGGCGAGTCTCAGAACACGAGACATCACCATCATCACCATCAACCTCACTAACCAAACACCACTCATCCCCCCTATCCCAAACACATTCACAAACAACCACTGAACCCTCCATACCAACCTCGCCATCCACCCCAAGTATCCCCCCCGACCACCTCCTCCACCTAATAACCCACAACGTCTTCCGCGCCCTGTACACCAACAAAACCCTCCTGTACAACCACTCCACAGCCCTCCTGCCCGGCCCAACCCCCAACTCATCCATCCACCTCATCCACGAAGGCCTCATCTTCCCCATCTACGCCACCACCATCCCCAACTCCCACCCCTCACCTATCCCCACATCCCTCTTCCCCACACCCTCCCAACGAACCCTCACCCACTACTCGTGGATAGATCTCGTGCCGTGGCCGCGTATGCGCGAGAATTTGATCAAGTGGGAAATGTGCTTTGATCATGGGGAGTTCGTGAGGGATTTGGTGGGGGGGTATGTCATGGAGGGGTGGGAGTTGTTTGATGGTTTGCAGGGGCAGGATGTAAATGGGAGGATTGGGGAAAGGGTGGTGGTTGAGGTTGATGGGGATGATGATGGTGAGGTTTCGGGAAATGCTACGAATGGGTGGATTGTTTGGGGCGAGCCGCATTGTAAGGAGAGTTGGGAGGTGACGCCGGGGTTTTTGAGGAAGTGGGGGTGGGTGGTTGAGGGGTGTGTGGAGGAGGTGGTGAGGTGGAGTAATTATTGGAGGGTCGGGAGGGGGGAGGGGGAGATTAGGGTTGTTACTATGTAGTACTTGGTATGTGGTGGTAGTTGTATGTTGCTATGTTGATGTTGGCTGTGGAGTGTATTAGAGGTGAGGGTGTAGTTGGAGTGGAGTGTATAGTGATGTGGTTGGTATACTTGGAGTATTAGGGTATATCATTGAGTGTATATCAAAGGCATATTATGTGTTCATAGTATGCCTATAACATAAGTCAATCAGGTACTAGTCTACTGAGAAAGGTAATCAATGTACTAGACCAATGGAATTGATAACTCCTAGACAACACTTCATACTCCCTGCAAGTCTACGCTCTAGCTGAAAGACTAGTAGTCGAATGATACTAACCAAGCCTTGAGGGATACCCAATATCGTAAAGATATATCATGAGTAAAGCATGAATCAACGGGAATGACAGTAGAATAATCTGCCACTAACAAACAGATAAGTGGCTTGGATATGCTGGCAGGGAGTGTAGTTCAACGTAGAACAAACACTGTAACTGATGATTATTGGTTTACGTCTGACACTGGAATTGAGATATCTATTTAGAAGCTTTCGATGATCAACTATACTGGGCTGATTGAGCATCTGTGGCATAATACTACTGGGGAGTACATCACAATGGGCTCTCTTGCTATTAGTGCAGCTCACAACTGGGCTCTGTCAGTGCGTTGAACTAGCAGAGGTAACCCGCACTGTTATATTTCAGGAAGTGGTCATTGCGAAAAAGACTGGTGTTATGAAAGAGTCAATTGACTTGGCATAATAATAGTGAGTCCAGGTATGATGATCTCTATCGATTGACATATCTGCTAACAGACTATACTAAGTTGGCAGATACACAGCTAGTACTTCAGCAGTATCAGTGCAGATCAGTCGCAATTACAATGGGCTGATGTCGAAGCCTCATATCAGGCCGCTATAAAACAGCCATACTCACTGGCCGTCTGTTGATGATCTACCCTGCTTCAGACGGAGTATTCACCCCGTAGCAGGGCACGGGCCAGGGAGATAGGGAGCTTTCAAGTGCCGTCTGATATGCAGACATGGAAGGATTTACCTCCGTTGTCAATAATTGACTGCCCCTTCCATCGCTGGTGGAGCGAGCAATGGCGCTCTTCACGGACCGTTCCGATAAGGGATCGCTTTGACTGACCCAAAGGAGAAAAAGTTGAAATAGCGTTTAGGAAGCGAAATGCCCAAAGTTAAAGGAGCGGACACTTTGAAGTCAGACTGGGTAACTCACAATAATACTCGTCATATCCTCACCGACACTCTGCTGAATTTGCCATTATCGGACGTGCTCAACATCAACGCCCCATGCAGATGACTGGTCACTCCGTAACGCAGCACAGGCTGCCCGCCTCAACGTCCGTCATGCAGCCATGTCGCTCGCAAAATCTGGCCTCCCGGTAGACTGGATAAGTGCCACTGCCAAGGCTGAAGTCAACGCGGTCGCCGTGTATCGCTCCGTCAAAGATTGTCAAAGTTTTCCTACGCAACTGCTGACTCGCGCAGACAATCACGTCCGTCCAGCTCGCAGTTTTCGATAGTGAGGTGCCGCTCCTAGCTGGCGTACTTCATACGCAGCACTAACTTGCCCTCACTGGGGCTGTCACGGGGCGCGTAGCGACAGCACGTTCCACAGCAGCCACATTGAGCGCATGAGATACCATGTACAGCCGCCATGATGATGCATTCATACTCGCCACGTCGATATCGTTGGGAGGACTTAACCCGTTGGCATGCTCGAGATCACGCAACCCACCGTGCCAGCAACGAGGCTAGACTGATTGGTTCTCTTCTCCGAAGCATCGTAAGCCGGGACCAAGAGAAGTACACGGTCATTCCGAAGTCGTGTCGCTGCAATCCGCGTTACGGTGGCTCTTTCACTCGGTCCGCTCAAAGCGCCGTCAACACGTACGGAGTACGCACTCCCGACGCCCAATACCTCGGTGAAGAGCGAGTGTCCATCGAATGGCGGATCGTATTGTCTGGCTCGACTAGATCTTGCGTCAGTTGTTTATGTACGTTGTTATCGTTGGCAATGTGGCAATCCCCCCTTACCTTTTTTTCCAAAATCTTGAATTGGTCGTAGATTATACCACACGCAAGCTATGTGAAGCGCAGAAAAAGTGATCGCCGTGATCTGAGGATTCTTCACAGCGATACGGGTATTCAGATTGAACTATCACGCAACACTGCTGTGCTGTTACCATATCCGCGCGCCTAGACGGAGATCGAATAAAATCCAAGAGATGTACAATGTAGCCCAATCCCAAGGAACGGAACAGAAAAGATACGTATCACGATGTCCCATGACTCGGGTCGGGTTGGCAAGAAGCAGTTATATCCGAGGCGTTGCAGAGACAACTCTAGGCGTCTGCTGTGATCATTGCCCCTCGTGTCGCTCTGCGCAAACCAAGCATGGCTAGGGCCCTCTCGGGAAGACCCTTCTCGGAAAATTAATTCATATCCTTGTGTAGCCCGGACACGTACTAGCAGTTGTTGTGTGAGGTCGGATGTGCAACCAGACTGATCGCCATATGAAGCGATGGTCAACACCGGTGATTTTTGGATTAGCTTTTCCGTGTCTGAGCTTCTCGGCTTTCCTTCTCCGCTCTAGTCTCTGGTTTAGTGTGTATTCCGCCCGTTGATGTCTTAAGATGATCCGCCATGAGTCAGGCGGTCACATCGAAGTGGGTGACCAGAGAGTAGAAGGCATTCTCAGCCGAGTTGTCTGAGCAAATGAGGACTGCAGTCGGATACAGGTCCAGCATCAATTCCCGCTCAGCTCCAGCATCGATATAGATAGATCGATAGCTGGCGTGATAAGTATCTAGCTATCATTAGAGCCGAGTTAGTATCGGTGCGGCGTCAGTAGTCCGAGCGATAGTCTGTTTGAGCCTCGAGCAGATGACAAATAATGGACGCCAATCGTTGCCTCGTCAGGCACTGCGTGTTTCCCAATCGGGTTGGTGTGGCCTCGTCCAAGCTAAGCCCCAATGGGGAAATGGCAGATCTGCTTCCTTCGCAGTTTTCAGCTCAACACTAACACTCAAGTCTACTAGCAATTGGAACAATCCCATTGCGTGGAGACTCTCCCATCGTAATCTCGTACGGGTGGGTTGAGGTGAAAGCCCGAGCATTCGCCAGTATTACCTCTCCGGGGGAACGCGGGGATCGTGATTATAGTGGCAGACTAAGCTATCTCTCCGTACGCGTCCAGCCTGCATGGTGCATGGTGCATCATCCTTCATGGCTTTGCCCCTTACCCCATTGAGTCTAAGGATGGGGACGCGGTCGCTTGAACTATTGGCAGTCATCGGCCCCTAATGAGCAGATCCATCGTGCTGGCAGCTTCCCTTCCAGCGAGAAACAGCCAGAACCGAACCGCCCGTCTGTCCTAGCGCGTAATTTCAGTGGATTAGGATAGTTAGGCTGTACAATCAAATCCCTTGCGGGCATCCCGCATACTAAAAAGTATGTGCCATTACTGCCAACCAACTGCCATAGCCGCCCCCGATCAATGCGTCTGTGCTATGTCTTTTTGCTGAGGACGGAGGATGGATTAGGGGGATCATCTCTCATCTGAAATGATTTCCAGTCCCAATTTTTGTCTCCGAGCTCGGATTGATCCATGATGGAGCTTGGGAGGGGCTAGGGACGGTGCTGTCATATGGTAGCCCAAAACGTTAACCTGAGAAATTCCCCGCAAGTGGCTCCCGTGGACCGGCCCCAAAATTGTATCGTGACTCGGTATTAAGAAGGTCTCCAGATAACATTCCCGCTGGGTCAGTCCAGGCCAACCCAAAGGAGTAATTGCAACAATTAGACCTGAAGAAAAAGGGGGCGGCAACCAGACAAGAGAAGGGAAAGTAAAAAGGAAAGCAAATGAAAATCCCATTGTGGGTGATACACCAGCCTGCTAACGCTTCATGGCATATGCCATGGGGGAAAACCGTTGTCGAAAAAAGCCATCCAAAGTGGTTCCTCTTGCTTCGCCCACGCGCCTTGTTCCGTGTTCTGTGCTCGGCGAATCCAGGTGGATCTTTCCGTTCATCCCAAGGGTCAGATCATCCGAGGGGGCCATTCAACCTTTTTTGCCCATCACCGACACTGGGGCCCCCCTGCAAAATTTCCGGCGCTCAGGTGATTGAACCATTGAGGTACACGGTCGTTCCACGGGCCAGGGCGCTGTTGCTGCAGCCACATCTTGTTTGGAAGCAAGCATCACCGTGGTTTATTCGCATGTCCCGGACAATAAGGACGCGTTGGATGAGAGCTCGACATTGTGGCTGGACATTGTGTGTGGGATCTGCCTCCCCCTGTTCGTGCTTCTCACCACCATGCAGTGTAGTCTAGACCGACGCTTCCGCGCTCTAGTATGCTTGAAGTGACAGCCTAATGGCAAGAGCGGTTAGAGCATTCTTGCATCCCAACGCGGACTTTCTACTTCTCAGCCACCAATGCCGGTGTTTATCACGCTTAACCAATTCTTATGTTGGAACTGAATCATGATCGACCATAGGTTTGCCGGGGTTTGGCCTGCAGGGCCCCAAGAGCCGACCGGCCGAATCCATCCAGTCCGGCGCTGGCATAATGTGGCACATACATTCCTGAACTGGCACACACCCGTTAATCCACTCCGTATTAACGCTGCGTGGGTGGGACCCAGCATAACCTATTGCAGAAACCACACGGAGAATTGCGGGCTCTCAGTCCAGTGGTTCGGGCTATTGAGCTGGCGTCTATTCATTGAAGCCCCAATATGTAGCACAATCCTACTGTCCAACCCCGATTAAGGAGCTTGGAACCCCCCAAGGAGGCTCCCTCAGAGGCCTCGCGAGGCATTACATTGGTCATGTCTTCATAGCGTTCTTCATCCCTTGCACGGCACGCGAACGGTCAGCCATGTGAGTGACAACACGTCGATTTGATATCAGCTATGCACCTCGCAGGCGTACTCGAGCCCTAGCAACAGAAACATGGCGTCCGATGACCGGGACTAGACTCCAGTGCCGGCTGCAGTGCGGCTATTTTATCGTTGTCCTGTTGGCCCTGGAAGGGAATGGGGTTGCCTTGAAGCGCGATTTCCGGCACACGCCTGACCGGAGTATATACCAACCTTGATCTCAGGAGGGGAAGAGAACGACGTAAGCAGGTGAATAAAAGCAGATAAATCAATATTATTGGTGCATATTGGCCCCCAATTATGAGACGCGCATCCCAAAAATACAGTATGAGGGGAAGCAGAATAATACTAGAGGAGACTTGCAAGAGGAGGAAGTGGGGGAAAAGAAAGCAGGCAAAGTGAGAAACATCATCACTGGAGAGATTCCGAGATGACCACGTTCTTTTCTCTCTTTTAAACCCAGTTCATACTCCAATTTTCAGTTGGGATCTAAACACACAGTGACTGTTGGAACTTGGTTCTTCCTTTCCTGGAAGAAGAGGGAAAGGGGAGAAGAGAAGGAAGACGACCGCCCCCCTCTCCAACGAAAAAGAAATGAATCAAGACTACGGAATACTGCTACTTACTAGGTAGCGTAAAACCACCCCCATCAAGCCAAACAGTATGGAAAGACCGAGACTTGGGCGCGCTCTCACCAGTCTAGCAGGATCAGGACATCATCCATTCTCCTTAGTCTTATCCTGAATCACGGGGGGGTGAGGGGGGAGGAGGGTGGGATGGGTACACAGGGAAAATACACAGAGAAATACACACACCGTCACCTTTTGGGTTTTACCCGCCCAATGCAATTG